CACCAATCAAGCAGAACACAGCAAACTCCAAGACCAATAAACACAGATCAAGACTCCCAACCAATCAGGATGAAGAAAAAACCATTCTGGCACAGCAGTAGGCTAGCCCCAAATTTAAAACTGAAACCACTTTAAAAGTCTGACTCACAGATGAACACAATACAGAAGCCTGATGATGGCAGATGAGATTCTGCTGAAACGTTGCTACAACTTTAAAAGCACAACTACAATGATGTGGGAAAATACCCGAACAAAGCTGAATAACATACATGTAAGTACCCGCGAAAATTTAAGAAAACGTATGTATGTATGTATGGTATTCAGCTTTGTTCAGGTATTTTCCCACGTCATTGTAGTTGTGCTTAACTGTGGACACAGTTATAGTCACCCACTTATTTTTCCAGAAAGAAGCTAGAATCTTTCCCTTGACCACAGAGAATGAAGATTATGACCAAATAAGCTAATACATATTGTCCTCAACGTACAATTCATTAAAAGTTACAATGGCACTGAAAAAAAGTGACGTATGACTGTTTTTCATTTGACCATTGAAACATCCTCATCGTCATGTGATCAAAATTCAGACACTTTGCACTGGTTCATTTTTATGATTATTGCAGTGTCATGTGATCATCTTTTGCTACCTTCTGACAAGCAAAGTCAATGGAGAAGTCCAATTCACTTAACAACTGTACTGCTAACACAACAATTGCAGTGATTCACTGTCCTGTGCCAAGAAAGGTCATAAAATGAGGCAAAATTCACTTAACAAATGTCCCACATAGCAACAGAAATTAAATCAATAATCCAATTGCTACTATCCAAAATAATATATTTGATATAACCATAGCGCCAAACTTAAAGAATTAAAAAATGTTTAACACTTTTAATTGATAGTTGTTCAAACCATTTTGCAAATAGCCAGTAACAAATGACAATAATGCTAAAACAATACTCATGCAATAATATTGTCCAACAATTACCATATCACTTATAGCATTTGCCAGATTTGTGTGATGACATTGAGATGCTTATGTTGTCATTTGTTCCCCTTTAATTTCTTCATAGACACTCATAGATATGAGTGCTCAGAATCTTAGACATTTTCTACTTTTTCTTATTTATTTGCCTATTTAATCTTTGCTATTTATTTTTCTCATACATTAAATGTGGATATTAAATATGGATATTTATGTAGATTACATGTTTTATTTTATTTATTTGATTTCTTTTTGTCAATAGGTATAAGTAAACACATAGTTATAAATACATGGATACATATAAGAAAAATAAAAAAATAAAAGAAACAATAAGACAGGGGTGGTAGGCACGTTGGTGCACTTATGCACGTCCCCTAAAGACCTCTTAGGAAAGGGGTGAGATCAATAGTAGACAGTCTAAGGTTAAAGTTTTGGGGGTTTGGGGAAGAAACCACAGAGTCAGGTAGAGTATTCCAGACGTTGACCACTCTATTGCTGAAGTTGCATTTCCTGCAATCGAGTTTGGTGCGATTAACCTTGAGTTTGTATCTATTGTTTGCTCTTGTGTTGTTATGGTTGAAGCTGAAGTATTAATTGACAGGTAGGACATTACAATGTATGATTTTATATACTATACTTAGATTGGACTGAAAGCGGTGTAGTTGTAGGTTTTCTAGGTCTAGAATTTCGAGTCTGGTGGCATAAGGTATTCTGCAACGAGTAGAGAAGGGTTTATAAATTTCAGCTGTATGTGTGTGCGTGTGTATGCATGAGAGGAGGGGAGGGAGGGAGAGAGAGAGGGAGAGAATATTTGTGCATGGATGTATGTGAATAAAGCATTAATACAATCTTATTCAAATGATAATCCAATTAGTATTTACTATCCAAATTAGGTAAATCTCACCCAATGTTAGGAAACATAGTCCTAAATTGTTTATTTTGCTTTGGATGGAGCCATTTCATAATAGTAAGTTTTTTTAAAATAAGATGGAGCTACTAACAATAGAACCAAAGCAACGTTTTGTTCTAGAATTTATCCAAGATTCAGAAACTCAAGAATTCCATGGGTGCAGATTCCAGACTGCACCTCAACCTTTAGGTTTAATACAACCAGGTTCCCAGTCTAGCTATGAAAATCTAATAATGAAGCTCACCTTTATTAAATCACTATTTGCATTTTTTGTTTGCTTTGCTGTGGTTGCCCATCTCACCACTATGATTCTGGGCAGCAGAAAGAAAATTAAAACCAGAAAATAACAAAACAACTCTATTAATTGAAAAAGAAATTACAGCATGATTTCATGTGCAAAACAAAGACTCCAATTTCTATAAGACATTATATATCAAAGTGAAAACTTGATAAGAATCAAGGTGTAAAACCTACAGGAAACATTTTGATTTTTATACGGATTTATTTTTTATAAGAAAATCATGATTGGATATAATCAATACTATTATACTTCTATTTTAATATTTAATCCCATATTGATACATTGAACATATCAAACCTGTACACTGCTATAATAAAATTGCATTTTGATTTCATAAGAATTTTTTTTTTCATTTTCAAAAGGAAAGAAATGGCACTGCACTGCACAATTTTTTCACATATCTTCACATTCAGATGTTTAGCATTATTATTGGACACAGAAATTTTAAATGCATATGCAATAAACCAAAAATAAAATATAATTAAAATATTGAATCCCTCCTCAATTACCTCCTCAAATAATATTTTTACTTCTTTCATTGAATCATCTTCATGACATAGCTTTTCTTCCAGCAGAGGGCTGTATTTCTTCATAAAGTTTATCTGCTTCTGGATCACTGAATTGGCACCCTCTATTTTTGTCAGTTGATTTTGGGCATCCTGTAATTGCTCATTTTTTTCTTCAAAATGCCACTGTAATTCTATTATATCTTGCAAACATTTCTCCCATTCTGCAAAATATAAAAGAAACTATTGCTTATAAGAAAATGATAACTATTACTTTTAAATTTAAATATGTAACAAGCTGCTAATTCCAAAATATATGTACATTTGTCTTCAAATGATAATTTTATATTATCCATCTATAAAACAATGCTGTAATTGCATTTTCTAAAGAAAATTAATGTCCACATTGCCAAGTAGTCTATGGTACATTTTTTCAGCAGTACAAATAAATAAGAAGCTAAAGATCTGATTTTTTTGTTTTGTTTCAATTAGTTAACTTTTTTCAGATATAAATTTTTGTACATTCTCCTGGTGAGATAGTGAAGAAGTCTTACTTTGACCTAGCCATGCTCAATATTTTTTACAAATTTCCAATCTCTTTTTCTTGGGAGAAGGTTATTGAAAAAGTGATGGCAAATCAACTATAGACGATTCCAAAGGATACAGATGATCTGAAACTTTTAAAGTGAGGATTCAGATCTTAGTTTTGAATTATGTGTTTATTGTGTTATCTATGCAGAGTCTGTTATGATAGAGTTGGGAATGTTAAAAATAAATAAGTAAACAATATGCTTTATATTGAATTAATATTTAATACAATTAATAAAATAAACAACATTAGAGTGTTGCTTACTTTGTGTGCTTTCTCTATGGTCAACCTTCCAACAAATCACAAGAAAATGTCAATGGCCCCTATAGTCCTAACTGAAGCAAAATGTCATATTAATTAAAGATGGGAATGCGCACAGTTGTTCACAATATAACCATTCACTGCTCCTGACTTGTCATGAACTTGACAAGAGGAATATTAATACACTCTTATCAAATAGACTATAAAGAATATTGTTGCTAAATATGACATTTAAACAAAAGAGAATTTCTGAACAAACAGCAAGGAAGTAGATGAAGTAATGATAATTAATGTTGATGATCAGAAAGGAAAGTACTGTGTACATCTCAAATTTCCTTGGAAGCAAAAATAGGAACCAGCACTTTGAAGAAATAGTTTGCACAAAAGTGTCACTTTAGTACCATGTTCATATAAATTTAATACTCACTTATGCAATTTTACCATAATTAAAATGTGGGTATTATAATATATTTTAATGGTAATTAAATTTATTTCATTAAGTATTTTCAAAATTCTACTACATATAATAAAATTCAAAAGAGTAAAAGAGATATCTTTAATCATAAAATCATCTGTGAGAGGCTCAAGGGACTATGCATGCTAGCAAACTACCTCAGAGAGATCATTGATAAGATTAAGTGAATTTGCAGTAATATTTTTTAAAATTACATTTTTTATTTAGGGACTTCAGCATACTGATCTAGCAGAAGCAGAGTGTATAACTGGGCAGTGGGCTCCCATATTTTCTGAGGTCAGAATATACACATTTCCAAGAATTGCTTCAGATTTGCTCAGTGCTTGGAAAGAAATCTACAAAGCCTTATATACATTTTCATACTATATGTGAGCATATTTATACATAAATATATTCCTTAAAGTTTTTTTGGAGATTATAATATTGACAGTATAATGTACAAAATACTATCAGTATGAACAGAAGAAATTATTTGTAGCTCAGGTCTTTGGTACTCTCTTGATACTGGGGCTTTGTTTTGTTTTTGCAGATGTTTCATTACCAAACTAGGTAATAACATCAATGGTAGACCTGATGATGATCTAACACTGGTGACGTTACTTAGTAATAAAACATCTGCAATAAAACAGAATGTTATCAGGATGTTGATTGTAAAGCTGTAAGCAAATGTACCAGGGAATATTGACAAAATCTTCCTGATGAATATCCATGCTCACATTTTAATAAAACATAAAATTCAAATAATAGCAGTATACTGGATTTTGATCTTTTGGATAGGATAATTGGATTTTTTAAAATTCAGTGGCTAAAATAATTTTCCACTCTTCTTGGACTATTATTTCATCACAGTTATTTTGAATGCTTCCCAAAAAGAGAATAGCAATTTCATATCTTTTTTCTCCAGATGTTTTAAGGTAGCACACAAATAAATACTTTTTTAAAAACATGGCTATTTCTTTTACCTTTTTGAACAGCTTTGGGAAGCTGTTGTAATCTCCAAAATGACAGTTTATCTGAATTTAGGTATAGTTTTTTTCTATGTTGCTTCTCAAACTCTAAGGCTTCTTCAGCATCTTTACGCTCATTTTCTAATCGTGAAATTAACTCGATGACTTCTGCTACAATAGTAGAAGTTTTCTGCTTTAAAGACTGAATATCTTCAATTAAAAACAAGTAGTGTTATTGAATGTAACAGCATATTTTGCCAAAATATATAATTTAAGTCTCATTTTAATGTTACCCTGTAGCACACAGTTCTAAAAAACTAATCCACAAAGTTTCAGACTTCTATACAAACTGTGTATGCAATTTAGATTTTTATGTGCTATCCTACTACTGAAGTAATATGTGCAATAACATCTTAAAATACCAAAACTTTTGCATATTCAGAATTAATATAATTGCCACTAGCAGTAGTCTAATCAGAATAAAAGCAAAACATTGCTGTGATTAGGATCTTCACTAACATGAGCTCAAATGAGAACATTGCTCACTTCTAACATCATATAATTTGAATGAAAGGGCTTGGCAGCTTTCTTTCAGCCAGTCTGATTGATAAAGAATAGTGAAATGTCCCATTCACTTGGACAGGTTTAATGAAATACATATGAAATTAAATATGAAATTATGGGAGTGGGATGAAGATATATTTCAGTAATTCCAGAAATGTTTCACATAGATTTCCCTTCTCTTAAGAAAAATGCTGCCTGTCTCCAGATGTCTTGAATTCAGATAGGTTTTGCTAATTCCAATTCAAAAAAAGGAGAACTTATCAATGAGTCAATCATTCTTATGTGAACTATCTCTATCTTAAAGGAGTAAATCTTCAATTCAATGTTTAAGAGTTCATTCAAAAATTTATTTAGAATTTAAAAAGATCTAAAAATCATTTTTAACATTAATTTAAGAATTTCAAGCTTTAACATATTGTTTTTAAAAATGATTTATTTTTATCTCAATCACTTCAAAAAGACTGGACAAGATAACAGGATGTTATCATTTATAAAATGCTGCTGAAAATATGCAAAATAAGGTATAGAAAAATGTGTAAAACATTGTCTTTAAGATTTTATTTAGGGATGACAGAACATTATGTTCAAGTATATTATCTGGTATAGGTTTTTTGCTCTCAGAAGACAAAAACGATCTTTTCTGGTAAATGACAGTGGTGGTAAGCAGTGAGATTTCACTTTTTGAAGCACTATAGATACATAGACCTGAATCTAAAGTAATGATTTCAACTTCCACTTTCACTGGACATGATAAGAACATGATTCCTTCTCTCCCTGCATGATAAGAACATGATTATTTCTCTCCCTACAATTTTCTTTGCCTCCTTGATAGATGGGACATTAAGGACTCAACACAGCATAGAATTTTTTTCTTTTTCACTATTTTATTGGAAGTGTTTCAATAATTTAAAATCTAAATTGTAAACTGAATTATACTGCAGCTCTCAAACATTCCCATTATTTCATGGTTCTCTGGAAATAATTACAATTAAACATCATTAATATTAAGAGAAAGCAATTAAATACTTAATCAATATTACCTTTCCAGTGCAATGACTGTTCAGCCTTCCCTTCAGTAGAGAATGATAAACAGATCTCTTCAGTCTCTTTGACAGTTTTAGCATCCAAATCCCTGGGAATATAGGTCAGCATTATAGTCTTGGATCTTCTTTCCTACACTGTGTGTTACCACTATATTTTCTCTCTCCATCACTTTCAAAATGCTATTGATTTAGCTTCCTAACTCTCCATTTTCATTGCAATCCAAAAAAGTAATGGCCAATACGCATACTTTTTTGCTTATTTTAATGTAAAACATGTAATAGATGGCATGCTTAACAGTGAATAAAGATCCTGAAGTCTCAGTCCCAAAGAGCAGTTGCAGGAATTGGGTATGCCTAGTTTAAATGAAAAGAAGGACTAAGGGTGACACGATAGCAGTGTTCCAATATCTAAGGGGCTGCTACAAAGAAGAGGGGATTGGCCTATTCTCCAAAGCATCTAAAGGCAGTACAAGAAGCAATGGATGGAAACTAATCAAGGAAAGAAGCAACCTAGAATTAAGGAGAAATTTCCTGACAGTTAGAACAATTAATCAGTGTAATGACTTGCCTCCAGAAGTTGTAGGTGCTCGACACTGGAGGTTTTAAACAAAAAATTGGACAACCATTTGTCTGAAATGATATAGGGCAGGGGTGTCAAACTCAAGTTCATTGAGGGACACATCAAGGCTGTGGTTGACCTCGGGGGCACTGTGGGGGCATGTCCGACTGGGTAGGTATGGCCTACTGGGTGGGCATGACCAGATTGATGCCACCCCTCAAACTGCTGGCATGTTTCCTCTTTGCATTGGGTAGACCAGGCCAAAGCCACAGCGGTCTGATCTTTCCTCTTCACATTGAGTAGACAAGGCCGAAGCCATGCTGGCCCAATCTTTACTCTTCGCACTGGGTAGACCAGGCTGAAGCCACACTGGCCTGATTTTTCATCTTCACATTGGGTAGACCAGGCAGAAACTACGCTGGCCCAATCTTTTGTCTTCACATTGGGTAGACCCGGCTGAATCCACTCTGACCTGATCTTTCCTGTTCGCATTGGGTAGATAAGGACAGCCCTGCAGGTCAGATCTGACCACATCATGGGCTGGATCTGGCCCACGGGCCTTGAATTTGAAACCCTTGATATAGGATTTCCTGCCTGAGTAGAGGCTTGGACTAGAAGACTTCCAAGGTCCCTTCCAACTCTGTTATTCTGTTAATTCTCAGTGTGCTAGAAAGAGAAGATTATTAAACACAGGTAGTCCTCAACTTACAACTATAACTGAGATCAGAATCTCAATCATTAAGCAAGTAATCCATTAAGGTTCACATGACTGGAATCTTGGAAATCTCTGTGGCAGTTGTTAAATTATCTCCTGGGCCTTTAAGTGGACAGTGCCTGCCATAGGGTGTTTTCATGCAAAAATCTTCCTGGCAAGCAGACATTTTGCTCAAAAAGTCCCTGCAACTTGCTGAAGGATTCAGTTTCCCTCAGTGCAGAGAGATGAAATCCTTTGGTAAGCTGCAAGGATGGACCTAAAATCTTCAGGATTTATTTTCCATTCTTCAGAACACCAAGGGAGCTGTGCAGGGTTTGAAAATCCTTCAGTGGGCTACATGAAAGGCTCTGAAATCTTCAGGATTTCTGGAATCTTTGATGGGCTGCAGGAATGGAGCTGAAATCCTGAAGAAAAATCTCCCATCCATGCACGTCACTCTCTAAATTTTGAATCACTAAATAAATATCTGTGGACTACAGAGAAAGATATGAAATCCTAACGATTTCAACTCTGTTCCTGAAGCCTGCGGAAGGATTTCAGCTCTCCTCTGTCTTGCCATCTTCCCCACTACTTTCTGAGGAAGCCAGCAGAGAAGATTGCAAATAGCAATCACATAATTGCAGGGTATTTGGCAATTGGCCATAAATGTGAATCAGCTGCCAAGTGCCTGAAATGTAGTCATATTATGACCATGGGGGAAGGGGGAGCTACAACATTTTACAATGGCTGGAAGTTCTTTACGGGCTGTGAAGCACCCAAGCACCTTTTCAAAGACTGTGTAACTTTGAATGGACAACTTGAGAACTACCTGCACACAAAAACTAGTAATAGTAGCATAGTATATATGATGAAATGAATTAAATTTTTATTGAAATCAATATTAGAACAAGGTTATTTTTTTTGTCCTAAGTATCAGATCCTGACTTGGCCCAATTTTTGGGGTAATATCATAGCATTTTAAGTTTAAATCAACAGAATGGTAATTGGCAGTATTTCTCTTTATATTTTGGTTAGAAGAGTTTTTATAATAATTATTGAATCAAAACATATAATTTTCTTACCATGGAAGTTTTTTCAAGTTATATAAAATTTCATGCTGTGAACATAAATCAGATTTTAATTGAAACATTTCATTTTTTAGATTTTAGATTTTCCTGCATACATACATAACTGTCATATTTTTCCTTTCCAGAGCAGCAACATTATGCAAAGTGCAAGAAAAAAATTAATTACTTGTAAAAATAATGACAGAAATTAAGGGAACAGGGGAAAAAAGTTGACCTTCCAAGCTCCTTTCACATATTTATTTTGCAATACAAACTTAATTCATCATTTCGATGATCAAATTGTAGTTTAGGCACCAGGTTAAAAACAAGGAAATGGTGAGCCTTAGGCATGAAAGTTGGCTGGGTGACTTTGGGTTAGTCATTCTTTCTCAAGCCAATTCATATCTCAGGATTATTGTTTTGGGAAAAACAGAAATAGTATTAGGTATGTTTGCCACTTAAAAGTAATAAAGATGGGATTTTAAAAAATCTAAAAAATGTATTTCTTTTGTACTATCACTCACATTTGCATTCATGCATTCATTTCATTTGCAACAGTCTTTACCTTGTCTGTTTATCACAAACACTTCTTAAAATTCTCATTCCCACTGAACGTTATTTTTAAACTTTTCTTCATATATCTGACTCTCATTTTCATATTATAAAGGCACATGTTCTTATGAGAAGATATTTTCACTTCTTTTGACAAACCTATAGTTTTTATATCAGAGCACGGTCTACGCATGGTTTTCTTACTTGCATTTGCACATCCTAAAATTTTTCATTTCCCATTTTTAATATAAATTCTACAAAAGGTATACAATTTTACTTACTAAATCTAATTCTTCATAATGTATAACTTACAATCATTCATTCAGTTTATCCTGTCATTGTTATAGAAAGCAGTTTTGCTTTTTTTTCAGAAACATACTTTTCTCATAACATATACAACCCATTACCTTTTTATCAGCAGCTCCATGTTTAAATTTGTTCAGTCACCTCATATTATTTCAGAAAGAATACTGCTATATGACCACCCATTATGGACTAATCTTATGCAGATTTACTATAGCCAAATCTCTCCATTATATTTGCATTTACTCTTTTACTTTACAAAGTATTCTTCTGAGTTTTACATTTAAAAAGTGCTTTACACATGTTAAAAAATTTACACAGCTATTTCATAAGTAAAGCATGTCCCTATTTTAAAATTTCTCCACTTATGTCATTTGCACCTTGTCATTTTTCATGAGTTCATTTATGTTGATCTTTTTCTTAGACTTTAACACAGTGGTGGTATTCAGCCGGTTCGCACCAGATCGGGCGAACTGCTAGCAAGAATTTGGCATGGGTCGCCGAACCTGTAGAAAGTTCTGGCTGGCCACGCCCCCCACCTGGTCGCCCTCCCACCTGATGCTTACTCACCCCACCCGCCTGCCTGACAATCACCTAAGGTATTTCTTTTTTTCCCTCCCGACAATCAGCTGTAGATACGATCAGCTGTGCCAGGATTCCCCTTGCTGAGGCCCAGGAAGGCAAAAAATGGAGGGAGGAGCTCAGCCCCCCCCCTCCATTTTTTGCCTTCCGGAGCCCCAGAAGAGCCTTAGGGGAGCAAAAACGCCCCCCCAGAGGCTCATCTGAGGCTAGGAAGCTCGCAAAAACAGTTTTTGAATCCCACCACTGCATTAACATTTATAACATTCCTTTCACTTCTACTGTTTGACATGGCATGTTTATTCCTTAAATACTTCCTAATCATTCCTTTACTTAATGTCCTATCAAACTGTTTCACTGTTTTATACATAATGTCTGTTTACTGTGTTGGAGGCTCCTTCTTTATTATTCCCCAGCTACTTCGAAAACATTATTTTCTTTTAACCAAAATTGCTCTTTTGATGTGGCTCCCATCCACTGGAACACCATACTCCCCCCACCCTTGAGATGGGATCCACACCTAGTCTTATGGCCCTCTGAAAAGCCTTTAAGACATGTCTGTATATGATGTATATTATGACATATCTGCAGTATACTATATTGTAGAAAAAAAATTTCATAGTTATTTTAACAAGCTCTTAGTAGCCAAGTCGACTGAAATAAAGATTCTCCTAGCCTTCCCTAACAAGGTTTATTGAAAAAATTTAAATAAAACTGACCCAGACGGAGAGGGTGGGAGCAAAGTGAGCACAGGGGGTGTTATCCACTCCATTGGCCACCTCCAAAATGCCACACCCCCGTTGAGGCCCCAATATAGAGTCTACGTGACCATATAATTTATGAAGTATTAATATTTATCTTTAGAGCCTTCCTTGAGACCATGATATCTGACATGTATATATGTCAGGCTATTTTTGAACATTCTCCTTTAAGTGATTCATTGACAGCAAAGAATGATGATGAAATGAGCCTCTTTGAAAACAGTGTTGTAGCCATGAAATATTTCCAGGAAAACCTGAAATCTCCATATTCTGATACATTTATTTATATCATGCCTAATTATTTCGGTAAATAATTCAAGGCGGTAAACATACTCCTTCTTCTTCCTATTTCTCTGCAAAAAAATCTTTTAGTCTAACTATTCTGACATCCACTGTCAATGTTTTAATGGATATAGTAAATAAAACAATACAAATAAATATTACCTGCAGAAAAGATTCTTCCAATTTCACTTCTAAATCTTGTATTAGATTAATCGCTTTATTAACACATGCAGCTGGAGTATTTACAGCAGCACAACTACGTTGTTTGTTGGGAATGCCTACAGAAATATTTTCATTTATATCTAAAAAAAAACCAGAATAATTATATTTAAACATTGTTCACCATCAAATACATTTGTAACATCTACAGATCAAATTAGATGGCTCTACATTTACAGATTCTGCTTGCATTCATAATGCTAAACTACAATAACTTTTTTTGGTTTCAATGATGTGCCAACTCACTCATTATGGTTTAGCATTATGTGTAAACCTGTTTATTATTACTATTGTTTAACAAACTAACTTTACTTAATATGTATGAATACAGCCAATATAGGTTTTTCTCCCTTAAAGACACAACCCCATTTATCCCATGGTTAATTTCATAGAAATTGCCCCATGAAGGATTTCAACCATAAGCTCTTAACAGTATTTATTTTATATATATTTTAAAAGTTTAATTCCACAGTCCAATGCTTTTTTATTTTATTTTATTTCACTTCTCTACCAAGCAACTACCTTCTATAGCTAAAAGCAATCGAAGTTTAGGATTTGAATTAAGGCCATTACATACAAGACAATAAAAACTTTCCTCCCCATTTTTCATTTTAATCAAAATCACAATCTCAGGCTATTATTAACTTCTGTTTCCAATCTAAATGTTCATATTCATATACTATGAATACTAGCCTTCCCCAACTTGAGGGTGGAGTTAGGGAATAGTTAGCAGTGAATAAAACTGACTACTGAATTCTGTGAATTGAAGTCCACACATCCAAAGGATAACCAGATTGGAAAGGCTATGATCATATATGCCAGTTAAGTATATTCATCCCAAAATTGGTCACTAATTATAAGACAAAATTATAATTGCCAGGTTCATGCATGATACAAACAATGTCAATATCATTCATTTGCTGATGTATTGACTACATCTGTTCACAGAATATAATTTCTAATTTCTCCCTTCTGAAAGATTCCTCGATTTTTGCAGTTTGGTATGGAAGGATCCATTTAGTTAGTGGGGTTTGTTTTATTGCCAGGCAGAGATTATAGAAAAAAATCAATAAACAGGAAAGCAGAATTAGAAACAATGCTCTCGAAAGACAAGTCTGAAAGAAAAATATGGAGAGTATACAAATGTATCAAAAGAAACTTTTTACAGTGAATATGTTTTAGAAAATGCCGAGTTATATAAGGTTAAAAATAAAACAAATACCTTCAGGAGTTTTAGAGATTTCCTTGGAACAGGAAGAAAATAACTGTGCATCAGTCATTGTTATTCATAGTTTTTTGCAATCTATTTGTTAAAAAGAAAGAAATAAAGATATAAACAAATACAGAAATTCATACTGTCAGTTATATTTATTCCATTAATGAAAAATCTGCAACTCTGCCAGGGAGATTCAGCTACTTTTCCAGGTTGAAAAGTTGTTTTCAATGATCAAGTATACATGTTTTAGGAAAACAATGAGTTTCTTCAGGAATATTTATTGAAAGGATAGAGTAATCCCCCCCAACCAATGTTTTATTTCTGAGGTGGAAAATATTAATGTTGCCTGTAACCCTAATTAAGGAATTAAAGCAGGGGTGGGCAAAGTATGGTCTGCGGGCCACATCTGGCCCATTGGTCTGTCCAATCTGGCCCGCCCCTGAAAAAAAATCACTGGGCGTGGCGTATTGCCCTGCGCCGCGTGGCCCCCAAAGCTGAAAAAACAGTGCGGAGTGCTCTCGGGGTAGGAAAGAAAAGAAGAACTTTGCAAAGGCCTTGGCTGGGAGTTCGAAATCACCTTCGAGTGCGACCTCTCCGAAGGTGAGTCCCCGCCGATCCCCCTTTTTTTCTGGGGCTTCCAGGCTTAAACTTTGCAAAGGCAAAGTCTGCAGGCGGGAGCGTGTCCCTGCCAAAGAACGGGAAGGGTTCTGCCCGGCGGGTGGGCGGGCTGCTTAGAGGAGGTGACCTGGCGGCACTCCGGGCTTCCCCTCCACCACACGGCTCAGGGCCAGGCGCAAGCGTCCAAGAGGAAAAAGCAAGCCGCAAGTTGCTGGGAAGTTGCTCGGGTGATGGGAGCCGCCGTTGTAGTGAGCGGCTCGTCGGGCGCGTACGTGAGGAGGAGGGCTTTTAAAGTGCTGCCCGAGCAGGACCGCCGAGCTGGGAAACGGGGCACCAAGGCAGGGCAAGGCTCCACCAGCAGCGGCCTAGCTTTAGGTGGGCTTGGATGCCCCTGAGCGCGGTTTGCTGTTTGTTCTCTCCTGGGACTCGCATTTGGAAAGCGTGGAAAGTAGTAGCAGGAGCAGCCGCAGTGTTACTTTTTCTTATAATATATATATATATATA